TGAGGATAGAAGAATGGGAAATGTGAATACTGCTCAACTCAACAAAATTAAGATCAAACATATAGCTTTCTTATATATTCCTTATATATATTTGAGCATTATGTGTATAAGCAAGTTAAAAGAGTTTGTGGGCTAGCACAGCTAGGTACATGTAGAGGCTTGAGAGAGACTTGGACTACACTCTACCCCCAGGGACATTGAGGCAGACTGGGCTGCTGTACATTTTAATCTGCTCTGTAGAAAAATGGATCTTCAGCAAGAAAGAAGATAAAAAGCAAATATAGACAGTATGTCAGTGAGAGAAAGAAGTTATTTACACTCTTAGGACCTTGCCAGAGCAGGAAGCCTTGCAAGATATCCACATCCTTCCACTGAAAACAGCTAAGGAAAGCAGAACAAAATGATCATTCTCCCCAGGAAGGATGAAACTTACAGGAAAATGGAAAAGGCATTTTAAAAAGTCTTTGTGTCTCATTCTTCACTCTACTAGTGGAGTAGCTAGTGGTACTACTAATCCATACCAAAATATTTAACAAATACATAGATACAGCAAAGAGGCTAGCCAAAGCTTTCTTCAAGAAGTCATGGAGCACTTGGGTGGTCTCTGCAGCCCCATGCAGCTGGAGATGAGGCACACATCTCCACCTGCACTTGCTTAAGTTCAGATGGCAGAATGAGTTAGTGGGACAGACCACACTGAATAGTACTGGCTTTTTTTTATCCCCTAGGGTAGCCTGCAATAATTTTGCTAACACTCTGACTATAAAGATTCACTAATCTTGTATTTGCACCATTATCTCTGAAAAGGGAGACCTTGACATTAGTCAAGATACTGTGCTTCTGTAGTCATTATTTTTCCTTCCCACTACCTGACTGGCTGGTGTGCTCAGCTGAAAAGGATTTCAACTCTTCAGAAAGGAGAAATGTTAAAAAAAAGCATAATAGAGTGGTAATGAGGTGTTGGGCTCCTGTGTGCTCGATACTTGCTCGAACTGCAGTCCTTTCTAACAATCCTGATTTCTACCTGTCAGAAAAATTAGCCAGCAGCTCTTCAATCAGACATCCTCAACATCCAGGTAAATATGCTGCACCTGAACTCAATGACTCAGATGAGTGTTTCTAATCTCAGGGACCTGAATTACTGCTTTTCCTTCTTGTCTCACTACACCCTCCTGCTCGAGCTAGCATCTTCTGGCTCATCTTGCTCCACTACTTCTGCATTGAGGTGACTACAGAGAGGTGCAGTCTGGCTCCGGGTTGCTCTTGTTGCTCAATGAAACTGACTTCAAGTTCTGAGTGTCCCAATCTGCTCTTCTTTTGCCTCTGACATCACTGCGAAAGGCAGACACCGGATTTGCTTGCTCTTAAAGCTCCCCCCTGCACAACAATTAGCTGTGGCTGCCAGGAGAAACTGGAGCTGACAAGAGCAAATAAGAAAGCTGAGCAATCAGCTTAGAGGAGAGAATGGCTCTATGAATGTAATTTGTTAAGGCATTTAGTGTGAACAATTTTCACACTAAATGTCTGTGTCAATTTATTTCCTTAAATAAAGGTAAAAAGTCAATGAAGCACATCAACTAGAAGTATTAAATGTTTAGTATAGTTTATAGACCAAGAGAGTTATATATCTCCTGAACTCCTTTGCCATTGCTCACTCTTCCTTTCAGACCCTCAATTATGCAGCACAGGCTGCAATAGCTGACATTTTGCTGGTGTCAGCACCTCGGCCTGGGTTTCACATCCCACATTTCCCTGAAAGTCTGCTTCTTCTGTTATGTGCATTATATGAAGAACCCTGCCAGGACTCTGCAAATTCTTCAGGGCAGTTGATAGAATGATGACAACAGGCAAAAAGCAAAAAGGTGGAAGTTCATCAGAGTCCTTTCCGTTCATGAAGAGCTGTTTCGCAAATTTCAAAACACCAACAAAATCTGCTTTGTAGGTACACAGAATTTCAAGATGAGCCTCAGCATTCAATTTTTTTTTGATACTGACCTTCTCCTGCTAGAGATCTCACATATGATTCTTTGTGAAGACAATCAAAAATGCTCAGTGTGTATTTGAATGGAAGTTAGACTACTTCTTTTTTGTGTTGTGATATTGCCTTAACTTTTTTTCTAGAAAAGAGAGCATTTGGGTGCGTACCTTGTGCATACAGATAAAGTTTATTGAGTGAAATGCGCAACTCAGGCTGTTCTGCAGATTAATACAAAGTCCAAGAGACACAAGGATAAGAGGTGGCCATTTGGAGGCATTTTCTTCTGTGATTTGTACACTGAACTTTTAACTATTGAACACAATGTGAGCAATGTAGAATTTCTTGTAAGGATAGGTTGTCTTTTGATATTTCTCTTGTTTCCAGCTAACATGCCACTGTACAGTGAAGAAGGCTGCTACCCACCCTGCTGTGGTAACTTCAAACTGGCAGACAGCTCAGGTTGCTTTGACTGTAGCAAAATCCCAAGGTATGACCTTGCTGAAGAGCAGTACTGGCATTTAAGGGCTTTATGACTGACTACGCTGACATTTAAAAATGAAAAGCAGAAAAAAGCCAAAGCGTGACGCTGAGCTGAAGGCACACAACATAATGTCTCTGCACCATCACTAGAATAGGCCAGGCTTACTTGAAGCTGATTTGCAACATGTCACCTTTCCTCCTGCATTTTTTAAAACATCTGTGCTATCATAATACAGTTGACTAGAAAGTACCTATTTCAATGGATAACAATCCATATCATCATGCCAAAATTACATCACTGGCTTTGAAACAGCTACGGCATCTTGCACATAGATTTGTGGAGTGAAAAAAATGTGATTAAACCAAATGGATAAAAATGCAGGTGTTAAGGTGGTAGGTGCAAGTTCATGGGATGCTACAAATGGATACAAATGGGAAAACCAGGCTCAGGCCACACAACCCCTCTTCGGTTTTTTCTAAAGTTAAAAATGTTTCTGAGTTTTTTGTGTTTCTAGCCTAAGGTTAGAAGTGAGATGTATTGTGTCCCTGTTAGCTTCTCTGCTTCTGACTATTCTTAAACTAATAAAAAACCATATAACTGCCCTACCAACCTCCTTTTCTTCAGCCTTATACCATCACAGCTATGAGAATACAACTGCAATTTTGGAAGGCTAAGACAGTATCTCCAAAACATTAAAAATGGCACTCTAACCTACATTTCTACCAGGTCATTTAAAACAAAGACTCCTCCTACTTGACTTCACATAATTTCAATTTTTAAAATTGCTATTGTCAGATGATTGTGTAATATAATCCATTCTACCACCAGAGAAGAAAATCCAAACCACTTACTTTCTTGCCAGCTGATTTGGCTTTCTTTTTGCTTGGAACCATGGATCTGGGGTATAAAGCAAGGCAAAGCCACAGCTGTTAATGGAGGAGGGTATGAGAGGCTACAAATCAGTCTGAAGCCTTTCCTTCCCACAAAAGTAACTACTACAAGAACATGAAGTGATTGAGACTGGAGATGAAGATACAGCATATATGGGATAGGATGGCAACAGTTCAATATATATTTCAAAATGGACTTCTGGGGGACAAGGGAGATGTATGTGAATAGGAGGGAAATCAGTGTTTTAGAGAAATTTTTACTACTTTACGGATTTTCTATGCTGCCTTTCTTACAGAATTACTGCACTGTATTTAACACCTTCCTAGCATGCTGAGCTCAAGACTTCAGACAACAAAGATCATGAAAAGGGTATGGTTTCTGAAAGCAGTTTTTTTAAAGCTTTAACTGACTATTTTCCAGGCTTTCAGATGCACACTGCTTTAGGAGAATGTATTTCTGTCCACTCTTCAGAGAGCAAATCCTTTGCCAATATGCATGTGAATGCATTGTAACTACTACAACCATCCATTCAAAGCATGTCCTTGCACTTTTACCAAAAACCATGCCAATCACTACCAAAACACAAAGAGATAAACAAGAATTATCTAATGCCACTGGATGGGTGCCAGTAGTTTACTATGATGGAATTATAGTTGGAAAGCAATTCATAATACAGTAGCTCTTGTACCCAGACTTGCAGGTATCATCTGGTGCATCTGTGTTCCCCAAAGTTGATGGTTTTTGTCATAAAACTTGTAGTATGTTTCCCAATGGAACTGCATTTATGACATGACTTCTTCTGCCAAGCACCTTCACAGTATTCCTCATTTGTTTAAAAAATATCAGAAATATTCTATACATCATCAATACCTAATTAATCTAATTCCAGTGGTTTAAATAGTGTTTCATCACAGAGAGTTTGAATTTATTGTGAAGTGAAATACAGAAGTACACTGGCAAAAAGGACTACTTCTGCCTTCTTTATGATCTTCTTGGGCTACAGTGAACTGAAAAAAGGCATTTACAGCAGAGAGCATTTACAACAGAAATTTTCCACTTATCTTTTAAAGTGGTTCAGTACTTTCAAACTATGCCAAAGGGAATAAATAGCACTCAGTGGGTAATCTAACTTAAAGGGACACAACAAAGCAATTTTTTAAGCATTGCTGGATACATAATATTACAGAAGAGGATGCTCTTCATAGTTCCTTGCTATGAAGAACAAAGTCTTCACACAAAAGTGCATGGAAGTGCTGTTATTTGTTGTCAGTATGGTGAGATGGCTAAGAGAATAGACTGAGCCTTCAAATAGTTCCTTCACATTTTTGATAATAAACAGCTCTAGAGCTGGTAATCACTGAAGACTTATCTTTACAAATTAATTAATTTTGAGGACTAATTTTTAAGCCATAATTCTTGAGTGGATTTTTTTTTGTGTTAGATACTCCTAAAGGCCTCATGATCACCCTGTAACTTTGACATTGTTTTGTGGATTTAATCATCGCACCTTCAGTAACAAAGAGGAATACAAAATCATGTGAAGATTTAGAAGTTCAAATAAGGCAGTCACCCCCAAAATGATTCGCCTAAAACTGAAACAACTAACATTGCTAGGAGTGACAAAGGAAAGGAAATCCAAGACAAGAAGGATAACTTTGTCAATTACAGTTCCTTTAGTAACAGTACAGTGCAACAACATCAACCAAAATACAGCTACTTGTACATAATACAAAAATAAAGTTTATACTGTGCTAGGAATTATGTATTGAGCTTAAAGAGTGATGTATAACATTTTCTCTTAAATAATATGGTCAGGTACACTCAGCCAAATGGATGTACTAACACATCTGAAGACAAACACATACAGAGCAGTTTCTTAGTTCAGTGTGTCCATATATCATACCTCAGCTAGGATTTGAGAGCAAGCTAAGTCTTTCATGTTTTCCCTTTGCTACTGCTCTTTAGCCATAGCACAGCAGTTCTACAATCAAATGGTGAGTTGAATTTTGGATAGTGGCATTTATTAGCAGATACAGAAAAGTATTATTCAGAACCAGCCTAAGGCACCATAGTTTCCACAACAGACCCAAGACATTACTGGCAAAAATCAATGTTAAAGGCAGCTATGAGTGTTTAGCTACAGTACCATGATGAACAGCAACCTAATGTTAACAACATTCTCCGTTGACTAGTGTGGCTCTGTTTAGTCTCTAGAAGGAGTAGTAAAGTATATGATTTTAATGTTACTACAATCTGAAGAATGCAAAAACTCTTAGCAAAAAAAATTTCTCCTTTTATCTCTCCTTTTTAAAATTCCAATCATCAATCTTGCAAGAAATTCTTTTACAGACTTCTTAGAAATACAGTTTCCAACAAGTTACATAGTAAAAAGCCCACTAAATTATTTCCTTCTCTTTTAAAAGAAAGTATATTGTCCCACGTCCCTCTCTCCCAAATGCATTGTATCTGTCTCTGCTATCAACACCACTGGTGAACAATTCATTTAAGCAAAATCAAGTTTTCTCCTGAAGTCCTAAAAAGCAAACATGAACCCTTGATTTCCTCAAGACTTCTTCCCTAATAATAGCCCATGATACTGGCTAGAATTTAAAGCAATATGAAGTGAAACTATCATCTATCATCTTGACAGCACCTGCCACAAAGACCAAAACAGCTACCTTGCTAAAACTCTTTTAAATTCTAGAGCAAAAAGTAAGATTAGAATAGGAGTAAATTCATCAAATTTCACTACAGAAATTGTGCGTTCCATATTGAACATTGTAGTTCAGACAGAGAATCACAGCTGAGACATACTTAAATAAGTACTTTGAATTTCAGAATATGTCCCAGACACAACACAGGGTGATGTCAAAGTGTTATGGTTGTGACAGTCACTGTAGCTAACCTCCTTCTATTCACCAAGGGATAGAAAAATTTATCAGAGGAAAAGAATACTTTTTTCCAAGCATTTTTCAAATTACCATCAACTCTCACCATACTCCTTCCACTTATCTATCACAGAATAGTTAGGGTTGTAAGGGACCTTCAGAGATCATCTAGTCTAACCCTCACTTGTATCCCCACATTTAAGAGTAGGACTGTCTGCAACTACTTATAAAAAATAACTAATATTCTTTATAGTGTAGATACATTATGTAATAAATCCCCAAAGGTTTTCATTTGTGTATTTATCTACTTGGTTTGCCAAAACCTTGGCTCTTACCTGCACTTAGTGCAGAGTGTTGATGAGATTTTTCTGTGCCTTACAATAATGCGAACCTTGAAGTCAGACATTTTATTGCCTGTGCAGTGAATAACCTCAAGATTTTCCAATGAAAAATACCAGCAGCACATAAAATGCAAATTCGTGTCTCACTACCTATTTCCTTTAAGGTGCAATGAGCAGCAGTCTCGTAATATTGTTTCTGCATCTTTTACGCCTGAACCTTATTATCAGCTTTCACACTTTTACTCATTTTTTGAAGTTAAGTGAAACACCTCTTCAGAACTAAACTACACAATCATATGTTATATATGTTCAGTCAAGTGTGAAGAAACATAGTTCAGATTCTAGAAACACAATGAGCAACAGTGATTTCTCCCATTTCAAATAAACTTAAAATAAATAATTTCAATTAAAGTAACAGCTTCAACCATAACAGCTGTGTAGCATATAAAAAACCAAGAACTACAGGGAATTAATTTTGCTATTGTTATCTAATCACACGAATTTTCTGAGTCAATCAATACCAATATTTTCTAAGCTAAAACTCAGAATGACATAGAAAATGGGAGAAGAACATTATGTTAAGAACAAACATTCTTCATTAAATGAGCTAACCACACCTCACAGATACAATTAACTTTGGTCATCTTCTGAATGTGCTCAGATCTCCAAAGACCTGGTAACACTAGGTAATACATTGTAACCTGGTAACATTGTACATTGTTTATCTACAACCACATAGTACAGCCTTCTCGTTCTTTTGTACGACTGGGCTAATGATGACTTAACCAAAGAAAACTGAAGTCATCTTGTATGGTCGGTTCTGATCTCAGTCACCTAACATATAACACAAAAGTATCTATGAGAGCAGTGCAAATAAAAAAACTCCATGACAGAGGAGAAAATAACAACAAAAAAAAAATCAAAAAAGGCTGTATGGTTTTTCTCAGCAATTGTTTACTATTTTGCCTTCTGGCAGATGAAAAAAGTTATCTTCTTTGAGTTTAAGATGCTCTGGTAGATCTAGCTGTCTTTTTGCTTCTTCAATGTCTTCCTGAATTGCCGAAATGAGCGCATCTGAAAAAGGTAAGAATAGGGATATTTAAAAGTTGGTTTGTATTCTGAACACAATAACAAGTGAAAATAAGGCACCACAAAATATAAAAAAACAATCACAGAAGTAGAATGTAACTATGAGGTCCGAAAGGCAGAATTCTCTGCTTTTAAAATATTTTTTTAACATGCTGAAGTTGCATTTTTACCTGTTACCAGTACTATCCTCTTTGTTTGCCAAAAAACATATTAGCAGCTCTGTTTCAATACTAACAAAACTGCATTTTAAGACGAAATTAGTACATTTGATATTTATGACAAGCCCATGATTTTAATGTAGCTCCTCAGACAAGCAAAAGAAAAGTGCAGGTTTTTAGTGTGATACAGAAGAAGATGTGGGGTATGCTTTTTGTTTTTAAATTATGAAAACATTTTACTAACATTTTAAAGGTTAACCAATAATACATCTCAGGATGGAAGGAGGTACAGTGAAGACCCAGAACTTGCATGAGTAAGGCAAAAAAGAAACTAGTCTGAGGGAGACCTTCCATACTGACCTAAGGAATCAAAGTTTTTTTCCGGTCGAATGTATCCAGTTATGACTATACTAAGAATTTCTCCATAAAAGTCTTCTTTGAAGGTGTGGATAATGTGTGTTTCCTAAAGGAAGAGAAGTAAGTGGACAATTACTATGAACGTAAGACTTTATTTCTCTCTCTGTAAGCATGCAGGCCCGATATCCAACATTCAAATTCTCCTTAACAGATAAAAAAATAAAAGGGACATTTAGTATAGCATGTATAATCCAAAATTAAAAGGCCAGGTTTAGTTTGTATTTGGAAGTAGAACTGCATTCTGCATGGAATTAAAAAAATTACTTCCTTAAAGAGTAAAAAGTGTTCAAAGAGAAAAGGAATGGAAAAAAAACCCCAACAAAACAAAAATAACAAAAAGCCCCCAAAACCAACAAAAAGACCCAACAAACCAATGAAAACCAATTAAAAAAAAAACCAAAACCCACACCCCCAGACACCAGGAGTTCCTCAGAGTTAAGATTTCCAAGGCAGGAAATGTTAATGTTTCATCAACAAGTGGATATATTAAAATAACTATGAAGATTTTGATAGAAGTAGTTGCCTCAAGGAGAGCTTTTACAACTATCTCTTAAGTGAACTGAATGATAAAATTGGAGAGCAAGTCCAGACTAAGACACAGACTTGACACTCTAAACTTTTTTTATGTACATCTTGATCTCCAAAATAGATGAACCCATAGCATCTACCACCAGAGCTATCATTTGGGAAGCTTTTAACTACTTGCTCAGAAAAGTTATCTGCAAAAACATTTTAAAGTATAGACTGCCTAAGACGAACACCTAGAAGTAGAGATTCAGGTACAAATAAAATTGTTTTCAACAAATTAAGGAGAGCTTTGCAAGACTCAGGAAAAGCACCAGCACTTAACAGCAAAAGAAACCGACTGCTGTCACAACTCAGGATTTTAACTTCTTCATCCTTACATCCTTATATGCCTTCAAATATTTATTTGGTACATTAAGCCACAGCATCTTATGAATCCATTTCATCATTTAAGAGAAGAATTAATTAAAAATTCATTACACATTAAGCTGCCCCAACATCTGCTATCTGAAATGCAGATATGTTGCACAGAATAATAGATTATTACTATGTTCCAGCTTATGCTAGGGTCTCATAACTAGTAAATTCAATGCATTGACCAAGTTCATGCTTAATGTGCTACCAGCAAGTCAAGCAACCATCATGTCAAGTACTATTATATTTTAATTTTGGAAGTAGTTAAGAAATGGTGGAAGAGAAGAAAGAAAAACTTCATTCAACTTCCTCTGCATACTCTCTGGTTACAAAGAGTATATATTCTTTTCAGAATACAAATATTAACTAGATAACACATGCATTTCTAATGGCGCACAAATTCCTAGATACCATTCATCAATCAAATTCTGTGTACCTTGTTAACATTCATTCAGTATTTTATTACAATAAAAATCCCACAAAAAGTAAAATTCTTACCACTGATTTCTTAATATTCTTATAGAAGGGATTCCATCCTATGCTCAAAACCATTTTATGCACATCTCCATTTCCAACACAGGCCCATCCATAGTATATACCAGTAGGGATATCAGATGGAAAGCTTTCAACTACTTGCTCAGAAAAGTTAGCTGTAAAAATTTTATAAAGTGTGAGTGACTTTGTGTAAATCAAGTATATAACAGGATCTTCAAATACTTAAAAGCCAAACTCTGCCTACATACTATTTACAAACATAACACTGGTGATGATAAGCATAATGAGACATACCATCGGCAAAGTATAAATCACCTTCATAAAATTCAGTTACTGTGGCAACACCAGAGTTATTACATCTCTTACACACACACACACACACACACACACACACACAGTGTTGTATACTTCTCTTTCTCTTCTGCAGTAATAATTTAAAAATGTGTCATACATACAGCCAGAAAACATCTCTTGGACAATTACATCAGTTTTACCACGAGGAAAAATGAGAGGGGAAAAGTCAATTTCTTCTGCACTATAAAATAGCATCTCAGAACTATTTATTAGTAAAATATTTACTGATGAAATAAACTATGTAGAAGCAAACGTAATCATTGTTTAGTCATCTGTCATTTTTGCACAAGCTCCCCTTCAGAGGGATCTTTAAAAACTACATATTTACAATTAAATAAAATTTCCTTTTGACTGAATTGAATCTTCTCTCAAAATTACTATCCTACACCTATTTCCAAGTTGAATAGGTCCCTTCACTCAAGATACCAAACTGATTTGAAAGAAGAGATGGTTACCAAATTTTTATCAAAGCTCACAGATAGTTACAGCTTCCTTTTCCTGTTCCCTAATACCAACACATTGTTTATAAACAACCAAGAGAAAAACAAGAAACGTTCACAGAAACAGATGTCAGAAATCCAGCACTACAAGAGTGGTCTTGAAAAGTTTCATGTCTGTTAGATGTAGTGCAATATGACTACTGATTTCAGTCTGCTTAAGAACAACCAAAATTCTCTTGCAGTATTCATCTGCCTGCATTTAGACATCTGATGTCTAGAGATGTGCAATAGGAAAATATATTCTCTGCAGGCCAAGCCCCCCTGCTCTGTTTCAAACTCTGCTTTACTTCCCTTAAAATTTCTTCCTTGCAGCGATTCCCAATGCCTACTCCCTTTCCTATTCCTATCGGAGATTTATGCGAAGGGATATTTTCCCAGGCTGCCACACCACTGCATCGAGAATGTGACACTTATCTACGTCCTGTACATCGTGACGATCACTAGATGAGAAAAGGAACAAACATCAAGATTCAGGGAAACCTCTTCATAGACTGGGATGCAGGAAATAACACAAGAGAAAGCGCAAGACTCTAAGCAGTGCAGGAGAGCGGGGGGAAAAGGCGTCAGCAAAACGCTAGTAGGTAAGAAGGCAGGGCTGTTCTCGGAAATCTCAAGTCACGACACAAGCTGTGCAGGGCAGCCGGGCGGCCGCCGAGGTCAGGCGAGCTTCGCCACAGCGCTGCCGCGCCGCTGCCTGGCGGTGCCCCGGGGGGCGCGACACAGACCGGCTGCAGAACCCCCGGCCAGCATCTCGCCGGCGGGAGCCCTCCCGGGACCCGGCGGGGACCCTCAACCCCACGGCTGGGCCCAGCCCCGCGGACTTCCCGCCCGTGCTGTTCCGGGAAGATGTGCCCTCCGCGCCCGCTCACCGGTGGGGATGCCCAGCTCCTTGGAGCCCCTGCCGAAGCCCTTCACCACCTCCCCGCGGCAGAAGTACGGCAGGTGCCTCATGGCCCTGCGCTGAGGCGCCGGCGCCCCGAGCCCGCCGCGCCGCGGCGCCGCTCACCACTTCCGCACGGGGCGCTACCAACGACAGGGGAGGAGCCGCTCCTGCCCACCCTCCAGAGTAGACGTGCCCGCTCCGCATGCCCAGTGTGCCCTCCTTCGCCGGGGGACGGCCATCCCGGCCGCAGCGGGGCGGAGCTGCATGGCGGTGCGGTGCGGCCGCAGCGGGGCGGAGATCGCGGCCGCAGCGGGGCGGAGCTGCATGGCGGTGCGGGCTGCAGCGGGGCGGAGCTGCATGGCCGTGCGGGCCGCAGCGGGGCGGAGCTGCATGGCGGTGCCGGCCGCAGCGGGGCGGGCGGAGCGGGGTGGAGATCGCGGCCGCAGCGGGGCGGGCGGTGCTTGCGGAGGGCGGCGAGCGTTGCCGTGCGCAGCGCCGTGCTGTCACTCGTCAGGGCCACCTTCCTGCCCTTTGCTCCTGCACACTCGGCTCTGCGAGGGCAGCTAGGTCTGTCTGGCCCGTCCTGCAGTTTCTTCGATAGAAACTGCAGTGAGAGCTGCGACTGCCGTGCTCCAGCTGCCACATCCCGATCCTCTTATCTGAAAGGCTGCTCCTCGCACCCTGCGCCCACGCGTGTAGATAGGGATTGTTGCTCCCTTGGTAGCCCTGGATTTGCCTTTTCGCTCAGAAAAGGCAAAATGCTTCAGTGCACAGCAGACATTCAGGAAAGCCGTGAGAACAGGTCTTCTTGTGACATGCTCCAGCAAACTGCAGATCCTTGCTTAAAACAAAAACAAATAATCCAAACAACCAAACCCCAACAGCAAACTAAACCAAAACCAAACCAAATACCAAACCATTTTTACCCAACCTCTGCTTTTACCAAGGTGCTCACGTCTCCCTTTCTGCCATTTCCGCTGCTAGTGCAGGGGTCTCCTTTGGAAGAAAAGCACCCAGAGAGCAGTGCTCATTCTGTGTCCGCTGGAAGGAAAATGAAGGGTTACATGAGCATTTCCTTCACTTCCTGTCTCTTCATGTTGATAAAGCTTACTAATGTATTTAGATTATTAGCACTCTTTTTTCTATTGCCCTGCCTGATCCAACTTAAATAAATTTGAGATGGTATGAGTTCAAAATAGTATTACATGAAAGATATCCATAGTCTTAGTAAATTACAGAACAGCCAGCCCACCAGCAGACAGTCTCTTTGTATCAGTGACACACAGGCCATTTGAGTTCTGGGGTCTCATTCAGCACTGCTGTGCTGCACATAAGCATATTTGTGTTTAAGCACATAACTGTTATCCAGAAACACCATACAGGAAATCCCTGAGGTGAACCGGTGCTTTCTATTCCTCCCCCCCCACCCCCTTCTAGAACAGCTTTGAATTTCAACAGTTTGATAAGAGCCATAAAAATATTTCAGGACTTCTAATTTGGTTTGCTATTTTTTTAATGTGGAACACGATTCTTCAGAAAAGCAATGTGAACATCTGTGCCTTGTGCTTGTATTTAATTGTATTCCAAGTAAATAACTTTTTTAAATGGGCATTGTTTGAAGAAATGGACTTATATATCATATTAGAAAGCACTGACTGCTCATGGAAGCTGTGGACACAAGCAGTTTTATATAAGAAGGCAAAAAAAAATCCAAATGATTTTGCCTCAAACTTATCCTCTTCTTTTATTTATCTTAATTTCCTGTCATCCTTTTTATGATAACATTTAAATTCATTACTTCAGCTTGAGTAGCTTTGACTGTCTTAAAGAATGACCATATGCGTAGCTGGAACTTGCAACAGAGTGGTGATGGTAAATGTGTAAGAAAAAAAAAGTGGAAGGTATCCTAAGTATGCTGCTAGCAGATCAATTCTGTTCTGCTGTCTCTGAGTGGGTAGAGAATAATTTTACAAGGGGTGTTTAAAGGTTTTGTAATGGAAGTGTCTTGCACATGAAGACTAAATCTTGAAGTCATTGCCTAGTTGCTTAACTAATGACAGACCATTAACAGTTGACAGTCTGGCCTCACAGCCATTAGCACTGCTAGTTTATTTTAACTGAAAAGCAAGAAACGAAAACAAAACCCCTCTATTTTCTTGAAGGAGCTTCTTCACGATATTTGTATTCAAGGACATACACATTTGTGTTCTTCTCCCTCGTCCCCACGCCTTTTTTTCTTCTTATTTTTTAAAACAAATCCATCTTTTCAGAACAGATGTTGCTGTTCTTGTGATATCCACACGATGGCACGCAGTGACTTCTTTTTCAGCATCTGTTGGTTTGGACAAAAGGTTTACAATCTCAGTAATACCTTGAGAATTACTAAGTCAAGGAAGTATTTGTTTAATAACTGTGTGGTTAAGTATTTTCACAGAAGTCTTGCCTACGGCTTCTATCTCATTCTCTCAAACAGTTGTAACATTAATAATTTTTATCAGTAATCGTGATAGGCTGCCATGATCCAGCTAAAATATTAGCCATCGAGGGCAATTTTTGTGAGACTGATTACATATTATGTCCTCATTTTTCTTTTGTTATTAAGTATACTAGTTCATATTGGAGACGGGGGTGGATCTTAAGTAGCATTTAATTACTTCTACTGACATTTATAGTAGTTAACTCTACTAAAATTTAGTAGGGTTAGTAGACATGTTTCTTCCAAAAACATAATCAAATTTTAGTGATGAACATGTCTTCTAGTATTGTCAGTCAAAAGAGCAACTATTTAAGAGTTCCTACCTCCAGTGAGAAAACTCAAGTGCTATTTCAGACAGCTAGAGAAGAAATTCTGTTCCCTAGTTATGCTACTTTAACTATAGTTATTGTAAGTGAAAAGTATTTTTCTTTTTTTCTAGAGCCACAGACACCAGAATAAAGAAAAGAGAGCACGTGTTATGTCACCTGTGTAGGGCCCATGTCAGGTTACGTAACTGAGCACGAGGTTTGAAGACCCATCATACTAACCAACATTTAATGCAGAGTGGAACATACTTTGTTCATCTTGATTTGCAGTAAAACATAAGATTTTTATCACATCACAAGCCTGTGCCAGAGTCCCTGTCTCTTACTACTGTGCTGCAAAAGCCTGCATTCCTATGCAAGGCTTAAGGTGAGAGCAGGAATATCCTGTTTCCTTCATGTGGTGTGGAAAAATAGCAGAACCATATCTGCTGGATACTGAAATATTTTAGGGCTGTCCCAGCCAAACTGGAAATTCTGGTTACACCAGGCTCAGTGAAATATTCAGGAGCTGACTCAGAAAAGAGCGACATGTAGTAAAACTAGTAGCATTTTAGCCAGTTCCTTGGAAGTTTCCATTCCAGCATGACAAAACACTCATTGATTCAGGAGTTCAATTCAAGGACGCTCTGGCACTCCTTATTTTTAGTATGCTGAAACCAGGTGATGAAATCACAGATATGTACAAAACACTCTTGCTAGAATGTCTAACAAATACCTGCTTTGAAAGTACTTTTTCTGTATTTTAGTCGGGAATAGAAAACCACATAAGTTATTCTTTTACTTTTTTTTAAAAATCACCTTTATTTTTAGTAGTCTGAAGTTTTGTTCTAGTTGAATAGACCACTTTATTCTAGGAAAAATACCTGCACATCAGTATGATGGTACTGAGACTCTTAGATTACAGTGAAGCAACAGGTACTATGAATGTCTGTTTAATAAGGCATAGCTGATATTATCTGCTGAACATCTGATAATTATATAAAATTCTAAGAACTATCATTTGTATGTTAGTAAACTGTGTGAAAGACAAAACTGATGTATTTCAGATATTGCAGAAATATTACATAAAATGTAGAACTTGATGCTTTTTGAAAGTTTATGTCAATTCTCAAGAATTCCTCCAGCTTTTGAATCCCTATTTCTCTTTCTGATGTCTTTTCTTCACACCAAATCCTCAGTTAGCTCCTTGCAAAACACAAAGTGTTGTTTTCAGCTAGCTTCCCATTATCTCTGCACAGCATTGTATTGTGCCATGTGGACATGCTTCATGTTTAGTTCTCAAAAAATAAGCCTTTAAATGCATTTCAAGTCCTTCCCTCTTTGTCCATTTTCCTAAAATGGTTTAATAGGTGTCTCAGATTAAATATCTGTAATTAACTGATTAGGCTGGATTATATGATGGCCATCTTAATTGCAGGTGTATTGTCACACTTTTTTTTTTTTTTTTTGTAGTGACAGTTGGCCCAGATCAAAATGTTTGTGACCAGTCTGTCCCTTATTATAAAAGCAACCTTCAGTTACTTGTATGACAAATTATTCTGGAGAATCTTACCTATACAGACTTCGGCAGCACAAGAAAAGTTATTCAGGGCAAGGCAGCTCAGGCAGCTTACCACATTGAAGATAACAAAATGAGATTCTCGTATGTTTGACAGATTCTGGTCCAAAGTATCTTGCATTTCTCAACAACCAACACACATTGCTATTAGAAGTCTCACAATGGAATGTAGAAGAACAAGACTGGGAATCTAGGTGAGAGGTTAGAAGATGTTTACTGTATTGTCATGATGTTTGCAGATGAATAGATGTTAATCAACTCAGAGGTCAGTGTCAAGCTACTTCTACAGAAATGGTGTGCAAGAAATGTAGGAAATGGTATGCAAGAAATGTGTTACAGGAAGTAACTGAGACAGATGAGATCTTTTAAGAAAGTAATAAACAATGGGACAGGCAATGGATTTTTCAGCTCATTAAATTTAAGAAATAGCAACAATAAGAAATAGGAATAACTTAATTACAGATTTTGGTGAATCTGCATAATATCTGCTTCTTGTGAGTTGTAAAGCAAACAAAAATTAGATACCAAAATATCTTCTGACCTAGAACTTAATACGACTTGGCTCTTGTTCTCTGCTTTTCATGGGGAAGAATAGAAGACAAAGGTGCTAATGGTTTATAGAAAAAGGGAATCACTCAGAGGGAAAAGCCTGTTAGAAGGGCATAATCTCAAATGGGAATGAGTATGGAGATAAAAGGAGCAGATATTTGATGTTCATGAAGCTTCTTAAGTTTGGGAACACTTTACAAAAGAAAGTAAATCAACAAAAGAAAGGCTTTGTCAAAACTGTTTGTCTTTACTGCAGGAACTGATTTCACAACAACATAAAGATTGAACCAGTAACCACTGAATTAATTCATGGAAATGCCATGAAGAACATCTCTCAAAACCACAGGAGATGTACTGCCCCAGTGGTAGATTTTCCTTTT